TTTAATTCTGAAAGGAAGGGACATGGGGAAGGTAAAAGGAAATGGAATTCTTCAGGTTAAAAACCAAGTTAAATCCCTCAAAAGAAACCATTTTTTCACCGTGTTGACAAACTTCCAACCAAAAAAAGGAAAAAAACACGCACACAGGGGAATTAATTAAATGCTAAAAAAAAAGTTTTTTAAATGAAAATGAGATTCAATGAAGATTCTACCATATAAGACAAGCTTAAATGCAATCTCAGCTTGTTTCATGGTTGTTCAAAAAAAAAAAAAAAGCAATCTCAGCTTTGAGATGCTTGTTCTTATCCAAGTGAAGTTGCAAAGCTGCAAACAGAAATGCATTCTTCAAAACAATCAACAACCAAACAAACATCAACATACAAACGAGGGGTTGGATTAAGTGGTAAGCAACTTGTTCCAACTTAAGCAAGATTTCAAGTTTGAGACCTTGTGTACGCAGCAGTCTTCGTTGGAAAACTCATCCACCATTACCAGGTGCGCAATGTTGGTCGGTCTGGATTAATTGGGGCGAAGTCCTGAATACCGAGTAAAAAACCAAAAAAAAAAAAAAAAACAAACATCAACATCAAAACACACTTATGACACTTATGGATGACAATTTTTCTCGATTCTCGCAGGTCTCACAGGGATCCCTGTCAAGGGGATGGGGTGAGAAAAAATATTCCTTTTCGCGAGATGGGGATAGAGAGTATTTTCTCTCCATGAAATTTTATGGGGAATTTTCTCCACCTCATGGGGTCCTACAGGAATCCCTGTCCACGCAAATATTAAAACAAATATAAATTAATTTTATTTTAAATTTAATTTACCTTTCAAACTCAAACACAAACTCAAGTTCAAACTCAATTTAATCAAAATTAAACTTAATCCAATTTTACCCAATCCATAAAAATTAACCCAACCCATTCTCCTACTTACATTTAACCCTAACCCTAATTCATTTCTCAATTTTCATTTTCACCTTCCCCGGCTTTCCCTTTCCTTCTATCATGCGACTCTACTATTTGAATGCCCTCCATTCCAATGCCACCCTTTTACAATTCTACCCTTGCCCTTCTCAATGCTCACCTTCTACCACCCCTTATTTTCTCCTTTGCATTGGCCGAACCATCTCAAATCTCATTCCCTCCTCTGCACTGCTAGTTTGCTGTTGCCAAAGCCATCTGCTTGTTGCTACCAAACTGTCGAAGCCATATGCAGTTCTGTTGCGACCTTGCCCTTCTTGGTACTGATTTTCTTTATTTTCAAAATACTAATTTTTTTTATGTTGGTTTAATTATTTTATTTATGTTGGTTTAATTTTTGCTTATATTTTAGTTTAG